AAAAAAAAAAAAACAGATGTAAAGTCAGAGATTACCCCATATGCAACCATATGCTTCAGTAACATTCAAAGCGAAACCTACAACGAGTCAGTTTGCACTCGTAATCTATGTCTTGTTTTTACTATCTGTTTCTGACCTTTGAGCAAAATTTTTCTGAAAAAGACAAAATAAAGGAAAAAATTTCTTTCAAAACTAATTCTGAAAGAAAAAAAAAAGGAAATAAATGGATCAGTTGTTAAACAGTTTATAAAATTTTCTTTTTTTTCTAAATTGAAAGAAAAAGTAACAGAAATTTTTGTAACAGTTTGGTCTCAGCGCTTGACGTTACTTCTGATACAGCTGAGTTCTAAAGAACATTTTTCAGCAAATAAATTTTTGAACAATTCCCACAGAGTGTCATCAATAAACAGTTTGTTCTCCTGTTGAAAACACACCTGGTTCCATAAAGTACTGTTCAAGAATTTCCTTAATCGTTGGGTATTTAAAATTTTAAATGAAAGTCATATAACTTCAAATGTTACTGCAATAATGAACCAATAAAGGTTAAATTTAGTGCTTTTGATTTGTGTCAACCAATCATAAAGCAGCAATTTGTATTTTTATCAGTCATTGAAACGAAACAGATATACTGACAACCCAAATTAACTGCCATCATTTAAAATGTAAAAATATCAAGAATTGAACGGTATGGACTTCGTCGAAGCGTACTCTGTGAGTTCAACTCGTTATCAATTATCTGTATAATACCGTTAGTAGCAATTATATCGGCTTCCTAAACAGATCAACACTTTAGCATATTGCAAACTATATTTATACAGTTTCTAAGCTCTTCCTTAGTTTATTAAATTTGGCTTCTTCTGTAACTTTTCAAAACTTGCAAAGAATAAATAATATATGCAGAATCTCACAAAAAAGTATTCAAGTGCTAACGTAGCATGTACAAAAGCCAACTTTCAAGGCTACAACCAAAGATAAGTGCAAATTTGAAATGATTTTTGAACAAGTTGGAAAAAAAAATAAATAAATAAAAAGTTGAGGTAAATTACATCAACTGCACTGTCTCCAATGTATGTCTTGTCGCCGTTATGATAAAGTGGGAATATATCATCATTTATATTTTGCAACGAATCTGCTTTTGAATCTGTTGCATTTAGTGAACAAATAAAGCCTAAAACTCAAAAAAATAATGAAGAACTAGTCACTAAATAATAGTTTGAATACATTATATAAGTTATATTTCAGCAGTTATAAACTTATTTTCTTCTGTATCAGATCCGCCTGTCGCTTTAACGATAACAAATAAACTACTGCCCCTTTTTTGTAACCTTTAGTCAACCATACAGATTCTTCGCGTAACATTGAGTAAAGCATTGAAGTTACAAATAAAATGCTAAAATAAACTGGAAACTTTTATGCAAAACCTTTAAAGATATGTCGTCGAACAAAGTTTTCCGCCAATGTCTCGTTTCTTTGTAACGTTTTTATTTGATTCTTGGAAAATGCATCATCAGATGGCACAAATAATGTGTACAGTGTCTTTGGTGTTTCCAAATCCAACTCCTGGATCACCGATGAATTTGCTAGGAAAGAAGCAAAAACGCTTAAATCTTTCCGATCGTTGACCAATTCCAAAAGATTCTTTTTTACAACCGGTAATACCTAAAACATTGACATTAATTTGATTTATGTAACTCGTCATCTTTTCTAATTTACAGTCTTGAATTTAAGCTAGTTAAAAAATTTTGAAGGTAGTATGCCTTTATTTATTTTATTTGGAAATTTTTGTCTTGTTATAAAGCAGTGTCATTTTTTTAACAAACACTTATTTTCTACTTATTTATAAAAAGGTTAATTTCCGTTGTTTTTCGAAAAAACAAAGTAAAAAAGAAATATTTTACGTATTTTACTATTATTCTATAAGTAACCAACTTTTTCAACAAAATGAATATCTGTATCACACAGACGAACTGATTGTTTTGTCAAGGCAACACAACCGATCATAGTCTGCCAGGAGTGGCCCGAATCTTGTAGATTCAACGTTGATGGAATCTACAAGTGAACTAGAATTAAGTCAAGAGAAAAACTATATATATATATATGCATAAAGATTTTGAATACAGAAGCAGATTGCTATTCCCATTACACTTCAGCTTCGCACAGAGAGTTTAGGACCAAGGTTACCTCAGAACCATAAGCGGTTGAGATAAGCTTTCGATTTTTTTTTTCAGTTTTAATTGGAACAATATGATTCAAAACAAAGGCTTTCTTATCGGTAATGTTCTGAAAAATATTATCAGTTAACTGTGGCAGATTACAGAACTTTTTATCGTCAATTTATTGACGATGAATAGAACAGAAACAATTTAAAAAAAAAAAATTATAAATTTGAGCAAACATTTTGATTGACCTTTGAAAAATTTGTATAAAAAATAAACTTCTTTGAAAAAAAAGAAAAATTTGTGATAAACATTTTATTAAGAAGAAAAAAATGTAATGCAAATTTTTACAGTTAGAAGTTCTTTTGGTGGCACTATCAGTGCAGAAATATTGTCGTCGTTTGGATTTATCTCTTCAACAAGCTTCAAAAATTCTTGATCAAAAATTTCCAAATGATCTCGCCAATCAGCAACTAAAATAGGCAGCTATAAATAGTTGGTCGTTCTAAAGATTAGATGTAGCTAACAAGAATTAATTTATTGACAAAAAATAAAAATATTGATATAAATAATAAATTGGGTGACTTACATTTCTGATCAAATATGACGTCATCAATAGCGTGAACAATTCCATTTGTGAAGACTTTGTCTGTTTCTAACAGTTTTGCGTTGTCTACTCGAGCAGTCAATGTTCCGTTGATTAGCTGAAATGAGTGATCTTCAATGCTTCAAATGTCAACTTCACTCTTATACTGTTTATTGATATTTGAAATAAAGATTCCATATGAATACAAACCTCTCGAGAAAAGGTATGTGTATTACCGCTTAAAGCACTGATCGAACTACTGTTCAAACGTGATGAACAGTGAAAACCGCTAAAAATGTGCTCCCTGATAAGATCTGAAAATTTATTCCTTTTTTTCTGCTATTTTTTTTTTTTCGATTGCTGTAGCCAATGTATATCATCCTGACAGTTACTGAAGACCAGAAAATATAGTTTTTGTAATGTTAGTGTCTGAATGTACAAACAGCAAAAGTGTCGGTTAAAGGTATAAAGTTTAGGAAAAATAATAAAGTAAGAACAGTAAAATTTAAAAAATAAGAAACGTAGTTTTAAACATTCACAAAATTTTGCAATTATTTTGAAGCATTCCCTCTACCAGTCTCTAAATTTTACACAAAAAAACGGCATCAGCTAGGCTTTCAAAATAGTTCACTTCATTTCATCAGATTAGATTGAGGACACTTTTTTTTATCACCTTGTAAAAATTTCTGTTTTCATGTTTTTAACCCACAAAGATTTAACCTTTGCTTATCGACAGTCTCTGTCAATCTACTGGCACGTTCAAGGAAAAAAAAAACATTTAATGAATAAATAACCCAAATGTTGGCTCAACATTTCTGCCCCTGACGTAAGGAAAAAATTGAGTGGGTCAGTGTCATGACTGAATAGAAAACTGTTAAAAACACTGACATTAATATCTAAAAATTAACGCCACAATACACATAACATCCTCTCCTCCCTCGCTTTTTCGACTTTCTCGGCTTAGCTTTCAAACAAAGCTGCTTTGATGCAATCTAATTTCGCAACTATTTACAAATTCTAACATAGGCAAATTCAAGATGTAGTGAAAGATGATAAGTGGCTGAATTTCTAAGTATGTCGACTGCATTTCAATAGCTTTTTGCAATTTACCTGAATGATAAAATTAAGAGTTTGGATCAAGTAAGCTTAGAGCTTGAGGTTCAGAAACGTGAACCAGCAAGGTGTCAACAAACCTTTGAGGCACTTTCTCTTCTCGCGGATTCTTGATTGAAGAGATGGAGATAATTGTTCGAAAGTCTTATCAGAAAATGCAAATATTGTTGAAACGGCATTCGAGTTCAACAGAGCCTTAGTCTCTTC